CAACCTACCTTTGTGAACAAGACTTTTCCAATAAACAGAAAAACAGAAATCGATTAAACGCCGAAGACTGTATTCAAATTGCTCTTACATCAAAAAGTCCCAATTTTAAAGTAATTATATCAAACATGAAGCAACATCATGTTTCCAAAACCTGAAGTGGGCAAGGCTTTTCTGTATTTAAATTGCTCTTACATCAAAAAGTCCCAATTTTAAAGTAATTATTGTTACATTGATTGTTTTCTTTTCAGAATGAAGGGTAATGGTTAAAAAAGTTCCCCAAACATGAAGCACATCATGTTTCCAAAACCTGAAGGGGGCAAGTTTTCAATTAATTTTTGTTTGTCTATTACTATTTGTTACTATTTTCATGTAACTTTTTTTTTAATATATAAATGATTATATCAAAAATGGTATATTTTTTGTCTATTACTATTTGTTACTATTTTCATGTAACTTTTTTTATAAATATGTAAATGAAATTAATTCAATAAATAATGTTTATTTAAAATTTACATTGATTGTTTCATGAATTCAGAATGGGGGGGGGTAATATCAACTTACGCAATAACATTTTGGGGTAATGGTTAAAAAAGTTCCCCGACCACTGTTATAGAGGAATAAATTTAAAACCGTACTGTGGTGAATCCGAACTGATAGAAGCCTTACTTTTCAATATAATGCGGTACTTAACTTGCTTTTTATGACAGTTAAGATGAAATATTTTTAATATATATATATTTTTGATGTCACATTTTATTTTTTACGGTGCGTTTATTAAATGTAAGAAAATTGCGCGAACTTAACGGAGTCATTATTTTATTTAATTAATTAATTAATTAAAGTTGCGGCTTTGATGTTTGATGCTGTAAGAAAGAGTGGATGGAAGGAAAAGGTGCGTAAAAAAAAGTATGCGAGCTGCGAACTAATTAATTTTCTCGAAAAGTTCGAGATATTAATTGCTCGACGCGGAAAATTGCTCTCGAAACTCATTCGATATATACATTTATATTATTACCTGTTAATTAAATACTCATTTTTGTTGGATTTCGTTGGAAAGTAGCAGCGGCTTTGATTATTTTTTTTTTATTCAATATAGGCAATACCATGTACGTGATTTTTATGTAATTGGCGGAACGTTAATTTGATCAAAGGTACTACTTTGATAATTTGATAAATGCAAAACTCTTTACTAATTTACCTGTGGCAGTCAGAACTTTATTTTTTTACTGAATTTGATTTAATTTAATCGCTGATTTTATAATATAAAAATCGTGAAACAAAAGCTTAGAAGTGAATCGTCGATTCGCTGTCCGGTGAATCCGAGGATTACGCGAGAGAAGGATTTGCGTTTTCTTCAAACATCGAGAAAATCAATTCCAATGATCCGATCATTGGAGTTGGATGGAGTTTCTGTATCGAAGTTTGGTCTAATCCGAGCCGGGGATCGCGTTAAACGGGGATTACCGTCCGCTTCCGTCATCCGTCGATCGCTCCGGTCTATATACTTCATTTCGAAAGACGAGGTCTTAAGCCCTTCGGCGAATGTTTAATATTTGATGGGGTTTTGGCGCACCGCGTTCGCAGCGCGATTACAGAGAGTCTGTTAATTTCCGCAGGTAATATTATCTGAGTGGGAACGACGATGTCGAAGAGACGCTGAGCGAGGAAGAAGGAGGACGAATAGGAAGGATGAAGAGTCTCGTCGGTATCATGTGGATCGTCCTGGTGCTGATATCAGGTGGGACGCATTAAGATAAGCACCTCTACGGGTGTTTGCTGCTTGTCACGTTAGGCCCTAATGGGCCTTGACGAGCTGTTTTCGTTCGTTATTATTATTATTATTAACTTTGCCCTTAATTTTTTGTTGCTGCTGACGTTGCGGTAGGATGCTCCGGGAATCCTGACGCGAAACGCCTGTACGATGACCTCCTGAGCAACTACAACAAGCTGGTGCGACCGGTGGTGAACGTGACGGACGCCCTCACCGTCAAGATCAAGCTGAAGCTGTCCCAGCTCATCGACGTCGTAAGTACACACATCACCAAATCCCCTAAAGCCATTGTTGTTCCATATCTATCTTTCTCTAGCGCGAATGCACTCTATCCTACTTACTCTCTCGCTCTCCTTCATCCCAGGCGAGCATTACCAATTCATCCCTTTCCGCTCCGGTACTTAGCAACTCCCCGAATTCCATTATGCTCGTTTTCCCTCCGCCGCGCGTTTTCCCTCGTCACGTTGTGTCGGTCGTTTTTTCATTCATTTTCGCATCCGCCCGCATCCATTCCGCCGCTTTATTCTTCAATTATCAACTATCGTGAATCATCCGAACGTATGCTTTTAACACGCTAAATATTCTATAGCTGCTCTGTCCAGGGCCGTTGTAGATTTACTCAGCAAGATGCAAGTCTTCGAGATGCCGGCGTTTAATTTTCTTGCTCTAAAACAGCGGTTTTCAAACGTTTCTTTTTGTTACTACGCCTCACTACAAAAAATTTAACCTTGCTTCGATTTTTAAACAAAAAGAAAAAATTCCACACATTCTAGAAATGTCAAAACAGTAAATATTCCAATGTTACGTAATGTTTGTTACGTAACAGAGATTTTTTTTTTCAGTTTTTCGTCAATTTCTGAACAACCCCTTAAGATAATTACATCATCGACCACTCACCTTTCCAATGAGCCAACTCACATCTTCGTAGTTCCGCAGAGTCGCCTGCTATGAGCTTTAGAAATTGGAAAAAAAGTGAATAGAATTTGTCAAAAAATGGATGTTTTTAGTTTTTTGATAATAACTCGAAAAGTAATAAACTTTTTTACGATTTTATTACATAATCAAAAGCACGCAAGCGTTGCGCAACTTTGTATGTAACAAAAGTTACATAACGTTCGTTACGTAACAGAGAAACGACGTTTTTTTCGATTTTTTTTTCAGTTTTTCGTGAATATCTCAAGAACCCCTTAAGATAATTACATCATCGACCACTCGTATGAAAGCTGAATAACTCGCCTTTCCAATGAGTCTACTTACATCTTCGTAGTTCTGCCGAGTCGCCTGTTTTTCGATAATAACTCGAAAAGTAATA